TTGTTGCTGGATGTCTCTCCCGAGGAGGGAGGTCACAGAGGTATCCAAGAGCAGGCTGGACACCCATTGGCAGGATGCTAAGGAGAAAGGCTTTCCAGATAAGAGCCCTCAAAGGGCTTCTGGGCAAACAGAGAAGTGGAGAAGAAAAAGGGGAGAAGCCCTGATGTCCTGGGTCTCTGCTTCCTTCAGTGCAGGGCTGCTTTTACATTCATTTTGTTTTTTTTTTTTTTTTTTTTTTTTTTCTAGCTTTGTAGCCCAGGCTGGCCTCTGACTTGTGGCAGCCCAGCTGCTTTGGCCTCCCATGTCCTAGGATTACAGGTGCACATCACCATGTCTAAGTGTTCACCTTTTAAATATTCAGCTTTCGTATTAAAACTTCACTTAAAAAAAGTTCTGCTGCTAAAGAGAAGTCCGGGAGCTACTGGAGTAGACCTGGGCTTCCTAAATCTGGCTGCTGACAGAATTCCTCGACATTTTCAAACTGAAAATCCCTGGGTCATAACCTCTAGACCTAGTGAAATAATAACTTTCCAGCATCCTGTCACAGACACTCTCCCTCAGTGCTGGAGGAACCTGGACCAACGGCTGCTGGATTTCCCAGAGTCCATGACAAGGCAGAATGGAAATCAGTAAGCAAGAATCCTGGGCAAAAGAGCCAGTGGTAGCAGATGGGAGAAGGAGAATACAGACCACAAAGTCAGAGGACTTCATGAGATAGCCTACAATAGCTGTCCACGTTGCTAATGATAGTCAAAGTGGTTTAATTTACTTTGTAAATCGTAAGGAAATATAATATGACTTACACATATAAAGTTTTTTACTAACCATGTTTTTAAAAGTGAAAAAAGCCAAATGTGGAGGTTTATGCCTATAATCCTGGTCCTCAAGAAGGCTGAAGCAGTGGTATGGCTTACAAGTTTAGGTCCAGCCTATGCTACATAATAAGTTCTAGGCTAGTCTGGGCTCCAGTGTGATATCTTAATGTTGTGAGACCTTATCTCATTCCTTTTTTTCTCATGAAAAAAAATTAAGTGAAAAGAAATTGTGATTCCAGCACTGGAGAGGTTGAGGCAGGAGGACTGTGATTTGAGGACAGCTGGAGCTTCACAGTGAGACCCTATCTCCCCAAAACAAAACAAAACCAAAAAAGTAAGTACAGGCAAAATTAATTTATTTTATTTTTTAAAATGTGTATGAGCATATTGCCTGCATGTGTGTAAGTGCACCAGTGTTGTGCAATACCTGCAGAGTTCAGAAGAGGGTGTTGGAACCCCTGGAATTAGATGGTTGTTAGCTGCCATGGGAGTGCTGGGAATCAAACCCAGGTTCTCTGCAAGAGCAGCCAATGCTCTTACCTGCTGAGCCATCTCTCCAGACCAAAATGAATTTTAATAAAACTTTCTGAGCCGGGTATGGTGCTGCATGCCTTTAATCCCAGCACTTGGGAGGTAGAGGCAGGTGGTTCTCTGTTAGTTCAAGGCCAGCCTCGTCTACATAGTGAATTCCAGGCCAGCTGGGGCTATAGGAAGACTGTGCTCTGAAAAAAAAAAAAAAAAAAAAAACCCTTTCTGCTCAACTCAAAATATCTAAAATTTCATTCATTTCAATATGAAATTCAATATAAAAACTGAGACAAATTTCCTTTTATTTTGTACTAAGTCTTCAAACTCTTACAAAAAATCTGCATGTGTGTATGTGTGTGTGTGAGAGAGAGAGAGAGTGTGTGTATGTGTGTGTGTGTGTGCATATGTGTATGCATGTAGAAGCCAAAGGACAAACTTTGCATTGTTTTTTTTAAGGAAGGTCTTTCAGTGGCTTGGGGACCCTAGGGTTCACCAATTCAGCTAGGCTGGCTGACCAGTGAGTCCCAGGACTCCCTGACTCTATCTCCGCATCACTGGGATTACAGCATGCACCATCATGTCCAGTTTTTTTCTTAACATAGGTTCTGGGGATTGAGCTCAGATCCTCATGCTTGAGTGGTCAGCTCTTTACAGACTGAACTATCTCCCTTATAGCACATCTTAATTTAGACTAACCATATTTCCAGTAGTCCAAAACCACATGCAGTTAGTCTCTCATTAACAGTGAGATAGTGTATAACGTAGGACTAGTTAATAAACAATGCATTTTCTTTAAATACTCTGTTCAGAAAAAAGTCCCCAAATCACTTTTCTATCCCTACAGACCCTGGTAAACAGAAAGAGTAAAAATTAAGGATATAGGGCAAGGAAAAGAAGCCCCCAACTCTGGCATCTGGGTTGAGTTGCTTGATTAAAAACTTCCAAAGCCCCTGTGAAGGACCAACTCTCTTTTCTGAAAAAAAAAAAATCTTGCAAACAAGATTATGAACCACATTTACAGTAAAAACATATGCCTTGACCTGCTTCTGACCTTGGATAATAAAAATTCCTTTAACCTTTAAAAAACTTTCTTGCACTTTAAAATTTATTTTTAATTTGTGTTTGTATCAGGACAGCTTCCAGGAGTCAGGTTTCTTCTCCCACTATATGGGTCCCTGGGATTGAACACGGGACATAAGGCTTGACAGCAAGTACCGTTTCAGAGCCATCTCACCAGCCCTCTTTTAAACTGTTTTTATCTTAGCCTATAAACCTATACAATGTACCTCGTAGAGCACCTTATAATCTCATTTACTAAAGAAAAATTCTTTAGATAAAAATAAGTATACCAAAACATTTAAAATTAATCTTTTAAATCCCCTGAATAATGTAACTTCAAAATATATGTATACATACATATATGTATCTTTAACCTCCCTCCCTTTGGACATACTTAAATATCAGGATGTATTATTTTTGTTCTCAATAAATTCCACATTTATTTTACTTAATAAACTTTATACTTCATACTTCATACTAACTCATCTTGAAATTCTTTTCTGCAGTATAAGTCAAGATCCTGATCACCCCTGAGCAGGGATCTCCAAAGAGAATGCCATAGGCTGCACAGCAGACACTAGTGAGCTGGAGTCTGTTCAGCCTCCCAGGCTGATAATCTTTAGCCCTGTCACACTTCATCTTCCCGGCAGTAGGTCTAAATTCTGGACATTTCCATTGCTTCTCAGCCTCTTGGCTATGATCAAGTGCAGTACTGGGACATCTGAAGCTGAATGCCTCTCAAAGCTGATCTAAACTGTCTAAAACAACATCTTTTTTTCCAAAATAAAAAATAAATTTACCTCTTGATTTTTCTATTTCTACCTGTGACCTAAGTTCAAAAACTTTCAAATCAAATTCTTCTGGGTCCTCTATTCTGCATAACTGTCAATTTCTCTTTATTTTGTCTTCACAGTCTTTTGAAGTGGCCCTTTCCTGCTTCTAAACCACTATTCAACTAACACTTTTGTGTTAGGCACTGTCCTAAATATTGAAGGCAAAATAATCTTAATTTCAGGTTTTACTAATTTAAGAAATCTTCCTAGCTGGGCACAGTGGCTCACCCTGTGATCCCAACATTTGGGAGGTTGGAAGAGGAGGATCAAAGGTCAAGATCATCTTCTGCTACATACTGAGCTCAAGGCTCATGTGTCACCTAAGATACATGAAACCCTGACTCAAACAAAGCAAAAAGTTCTTTTCCTATGCCCACATAGAAACAGTTTCTCATCACTGAGTTGTTTTTATTTTTTTAATTATTTTATTTTATTAAAAAATTTATTTATTTATTATTTTTACTTTATATGTATGAGTATATTGCCTGCATGTATGTGAGAGTACCCATGTCGTGCAATGCCGTGGAGGTCAGAAGAAGGCTTCCCCGGGTGTTCTGCAAGAGTAGTCAGTGCTCTTAACTGCTGAGCCATCTCTCCAGCCCCACTCAGTTGTTTTTAATATAGCAAACAGTCTATAACACTCACTTGGTAGTTAAAATTTGCTGCTTTGTATGGCCATTATTAGCTTTTCTCATAAATACCTATTTTCCCAAATAGCATGGATTTCCTCAAAGCATGGATCAGGGTTGTGCCACTGTGCTCTCTCTGATGCTCAGAAGCATGAGGTACTGAGCACACACTTGACCAACATGTGTAAACAGGGAAGGGTCTATGAACAGGAGGTGCTCCAGCCCAGTAGTTAAGCCTATAATCCCAGCTACTCAAGAGGCTGAGGCAAGAGGATCCTAAATTCAACCAGCCTGGGCTATGGAAAGGAGGGCCCCACTTAGAAAAGATGCTGTTCTACTTCACCCCCATCATCCAGTGACAGATTGGCAAATCAGATCAGTGAGAGGCAGGGAGCCTGCAAGAACTTCAGATCTTCTAAATGTACGAGGGAAATTCCATTTTTCCAATTCCATCTGCAAAGAAATTCAGAACTGGCAACGTGTTAAGTCGGGATTGGTTACCTTGGCTTTTGGACTTCTATAAACTAAATTAGGTCATCAAATTAAAAAAAAGTTTATTGGGGCTGGAGAGATGGCTCAGTGGTTAAGAACACTGACTGTTCTTACAGAAGACCTGGGTTCGAATCCCAGCACCCACATGGCAGCTAACAACTGTTTGTAACTCCAGTTCCAGGGGATCTGACAGTCTCTTTGTCCTCCACGGGCATTGCACGACACAGGTGCATGTACCTACATGCAGATAATATATGCATACACATAAAATAAAAATAATAAATAAAATATTTTTAAAAGTTTGTTGACCACAAATAGAAATGCTATTACTGGTGATATTTAACAAACATATGTAATATTAGGTTTAAAAACGAAAACTTGGGCCAGTGAGATGGTTCAGCTGGGAAAGTGCATGCTGCCAAGCCTGACAACCTGAGTTGGATATCTGGAACCCACATGATGGAAAGAGAGAACAGACTCCCACAAGTTGTCCTCTGGCCTCCACATACGCACTGAGGCACTCCTCTGCTGCTAAATACGCACTCCTCTCCTCCTAAATAAACAAATAAATGTTGGAAGGAAGGAAGGAAGGAAGGAAGGAAGGAAGGAAGGAAGGAAGGAAGGAAGGAAGGAAGCTAGCTTACCACATGTTATGTTCAAAAACTTTGGTTGGATCAGTTAAAATCCTTGATCCTAGAGGGGCCACTGGGTGGACACCACTTTGGCATCTGTGTAGCACCTTCCCTTTCCTTAGATGACATATACAATTTCTCCAAATCCCATTCATCATAAACAAGACCTGCAAAATAACAAGTAGTTGATTAGTCAATAAGGATTAAACAATGTATTGTTTAAAAGTAAAAGCTGTTCCCAAAAGTTTATAACACTGAACTTTTTATTTATTTATTTTTGGTCTTTTTGAGACAGGTTCTCCCTGTAGCCCCAGCTGGCCTGAAACTCACTAGGTAGACCAGGCTGGCCTTGAACTCACAGCGATCCATCTGCTTCTGCCTCCCAAGTGCTGGGGCTAAAGGCTTGTGCCACCATGCCCGGCTGAGACTAAACATTTTTTAAATGAAAGAAGGGTATGATACCTCCTTTCTGAAGAGGAAAACAATATTTATGATGGGTAACACTGGCTGGTATTCTTTATAAACCACTGCCTTGACCAGTTTTGCTTTGCTCTTTGCTTATGTAACTTTTAGCACATGGCCAAATCATGCAGTCCTAGAATCTGAATTTTGTGTATTAAAGACTGTTTTTTGTTTTAAATTAGTTTTGTTAGGCATGATGACTCAGTTCTGTAATCTTAGCTACTCAAGGGGCTGAGGCAGAAGGATCACAAGTTCAAAGACTGGGTAGACTACAGAAAGAACTCACGGCCAGCCAGGGCAATTCAGTGAGACCCTGTCTCAAAAAAATAAAAAGAGGACTAGAATATTAGTGGTTAGCATGAAGGAGGCCCTAAATTCGATCCCCCTAAATTTGACCCCCCAGAACTACAAAAAAATCCTAATCAAACAAACACAAAAATAATTTTGGGGGAATTCTATATAACCACTAGGGCAAAAGTGCAAGTATATGAGTAAAATAAGAAAACCTATCAAATCTCGCTGGTGGTGGTACACGCCTTTAATCCCAATACTTGTGAGGCAGAGGCAGGAGGATCTCTGTGAGTTCAAGGCCAGCCTGGTCTGCATAGTGAGTTCTAGGCCAGCTGGGGCTACAGGGAGACCCTGTCTAAAAAGACCACACAAAAAAAGAAAGAAAACCTATTAAATCTTATTCTTCATGCTGAGCTAGAACTAAATAGGATGAAAACAATATATATGTATATTGCATATATATGTATATAAACAACAAATACTATTGTAGAAAGGATCCTAGTAACCTCATATATTTACACCTATATTTATCTTTATTTTATTTATTTATTTTTTTGTCTTTTTGAAGCAGGGTCTCCCTGTAGCCCCAGCTGTCCTGGAACTCACTATGTAGACCAGGCTGGTCTCTGCCTCCCAGGTGCTGGGACTACAGGTGTGCACCACCACACCCGACCTATATTTATCTTTATAATGCACCACTACACACAGCATATATATGTATGCATATACATATATTTTTCTTTTTTTAAAGAATAGTAATATAGTTACAAAAGGACTTTATCGTATAAAACACATGCTTTAATCCCAGCACAAGAGAAGAATCACCAGTTGGTTAGTCCAACTCCATTGCCATTTCTGGAAAAATAATTTAAAATTTAAAGACAATACCATCTTAATTATGTACTAGTAAATATGTCACTTTCATATCTTCATAAAAGAGCTTTAAAAAGAAGCTCTGGGAGCTTCCTGCTCCCAGTAGAATCCACTGTAATACCGCTTGGCATTTCATTTGTTCCTCTCAGCATTCAGCCTACTGCTGTACCCTGTCAAGCAGAAATAGACGCTAAGTGGCATGTGTACATAACAGGCATTAGGGGCTATCAGAGGTGTGATTAGGCATAAAAACATGACATACTGAACAGCCTTACTACCTTGCTGAAAATGAACTTCAGAATGTCAAAAATGTCTCATTGTGCTTTTAAAAATAAAATTCTAGATTTTTACCTATTGGGGTTAAAAAAAAAAAAAGAAAGAAAGAAAAGAAGAGCTTAGTTATGCACACCAAAAAGGCTGCAATGGTTCCATTTACAGGTGACTAACAGAGATGAGAAATGAGGCAATTCGAGCACTAGCAGATACTCCTGCTGCTTGTTCTCCCTTCCCCACTAAATGCAAGCTCTTTGGTGGAGCAAATGCAATGAAAAGCTCTGCCTGCCACTACCTTTACCCTGATGTTTCTTTGTTCTTTCCACTAGCCAGCATTCCACACACTAACAAAACTACCTGCAAAATTATTTTTAGATCTTTCCACACTGAATATATTCATAAAATGTTCTGTATGCTGAAGAGTAGAAACTGATTACACCTACAAAGATGGGCAATTCGTGCTCAAAAGTGTAAAATGATGCAAATGGTTCCCACCCAGGAAATCCAAACCCAAATGAAATTTCTGCCCTTCAAACGATCATGTGATACCGACCTTTATAAGAAAAAGGAAAACAAAGGGAAAGAAGGCAAAGTTTCACCCACTATAAATGACCAAGGCTTTTATTTCTGTAGACAGTCAGAAATAAAAAGGCATATCCTGACTGGCTACAAGGAAATTAAGGAAAATGTCAGGAGAATATGTGCCTTGCAGGTTGCTGCCTGCAGGGCCAGGGCCTAAGCATGCGGCAATTTTCTTGCTTAGGCAGCTGTTCCTCTAATTAGCCACACAAACATTTTTATCTGTTTCATTTCTTTATTATCTGTAACAGCCACATCCAGTGTTGCACTGCTTTTTTTTTTTTTTTTTTTTTTTTTTTTTTGGTCTTTTTGAGACAGAGACTCCCTGTAGCCCCATCTGTCCTGGAACTCACTATGTAGACCAGGCTGGCCTTGAACTCACAGAGATCCACCTGCCTCTGCCTCCTGAGTGCTGGGATTAAAGGCGTGTGCCACCACACCTGGCTACTTATCTTTTTTAAAAAAAATATTTTATTTATTCTTTTTATTTTATGTGTATGAGTGCATTGCCTGCATGTGAGTGCACCCGTGTCATGCAATGCTGCAGAGGTCAGAAGAGGGCTTCCGATTCCCCTGGAACTGGAGTTAAGGATGGTTTGTAGCCACCATGTGGGTGCTGGGAATCGAACCCCGGGCCCTCTGGAAGAGCACTCAGTGCTCTTAACCACTGAGCCATCTCTCCAGCCCCTATTTATCTTTTTTTTTTATTAACTAAATATATAGTAAATCTAACAGAAACATATAAAATCATAATGAAATTATGAAAGTGCCTTCTCAAATTAAATTGCAAGCTTCTAGAGGCAGCACCATTCTGCTTATGAACTGTCTGACTGACTAGCTAAGGATGCTACTTACCGACATAAAGTTAATTGGAAAGAACTTACTTCATATTTTCCAGGGTGGTTCTTGAGTGTCTTGCAGTGAGAGAAGGAAGCAACAGAGTATGACAGTACACAAGCGCCATCCAGTTTCACCGACTACAGCAGCATGCAGATTTGTGCTTTGTGTTATGATTATCATGCTAACTTAAAATTCAAGTCAGGATTCCATTTTGTGATTGGAAAAGAAGAGAAGGGCCGGAGAGCTCTGAGTGGAATTCTGTTAGAGAAAGTTGGTTTCTGCCACTCACTTCAGAGACTAGTTCCCCTATGGGCCCTCTATTTGTTTATTTGTCTATCTATCTCTTTCAGATAAAATGTAGCCCAGGCTGGTCTTGAATTAGCTATGTAGCCCAGGCTGCCTTGGAGCATCTGATCCTCCTGCTTTAGTTCCCTCAGTACTGAGATTCCAGGCATGTGTCACTAGGCCCACTTCAAGATACCATCCTCTCTTTCTTTTGAGACAGGGTCTCACTCTGTAGCCCCATCTGGCCTGGAATTCTCTAAGTAGACCAGGCTGGCCTTGAACTCAGAGAACTTCGCCTGCCTCTGCACCACCATGCCCAGCTAGATGCTTTCTCTTAACTTTCTTTAGGCATACTCTAATTTGAATACAAGTTTGAATAAAATACTATTTGCACAATGAAACTGTATACAAGTCATATTTTTCTTCTTATTTTAAATCATAAAGATGTACAATTTAAAAGTTTCCATTCATCCATGTAAGGACAGAAGAAAGAACAAAGAATGAAAAATAGGATAAATAGAACACAAATACCAAGATGCCATATTTAAATCCAACCACAGAAGTAATTATATTAATGTAAATGGAGGGCTGGCAAGATGAGACGGCTCAGCAGGTAAAGGCACTTGCCGCCAAAATGCATTACCTGAGTTCAGTCCCTAGAACCCATGTGGTAGAAGGAGAGGATTGACTCCTGAAGTTGTCTTCTGATATCTATGTGTTTTGTGGCATGCTCTTCCCCTCAGATAAATAATGTAAAAAAATTTAAATGTAAGTGGACTCCAATTAAAGGGCATAGGTTGTCAAGTTATATAAAAAAGCAAGACAAGAATTTGTTGTCTCTACAAGAAGCACTTAAATATGAAGATAAAAATATATATTGGCCGGGCGTGGTGGCATATGCCTTTAATCCCAGCACTCAGGAGGCAGAGGCAGGCGGATCTCTATGAGTTCAAGGCCATCCTGGTCTACATAGTGAGTTCCAGGACAGCTGGGGCTACAGGGAGACCCTGTCTCAAAAAGACCAAAAATATATACTATAAAATTAAAAGATATGCTATGCACACCATATGAGAAAGCTGGTGGAGCTCTATTAATAAAGTAAAATTTAAAATAAAGAGGAGCATCTAATAGTGCTAAGTCAGTTCAACAAGAGGATACGGCAGTCTCAAATATGTACCACAGAACAAAGGCAAAATCAGAACTTTCTAAAGTGAGGCATTACGAAATGCACAGCAGGTTTTTGTTGTTTTGTTATGTTTTTTTTTTTTGTCTTTTTGAGACAGGCTCTCTCTATAGCCCCAGCTGGCCTGGGGCTTGCTAGAGAGCAGGCTAGCCTTGATCTCACAGTGCTCTGCCTGCCTCTGCCTCTGCCTCCAGAATGCCACTGGCATGCGCTACCACGCCCAGTTATTACCTGTTAATTTTTTTTTTTTTTTTGTCTTTTTGAGACAGGGTCTCCCTGTAGCTCCAGCTGGTCTAGAACTCACTATGTAGACCAGGTGGTCTTAAACTCACAGAGATCCGCCTGCCTCTGCCTCCTAAGTGCTGGGATTAAAGGAGTGCACCACCACGCCCAGCTTTACCTGTTAATTTTAATAGGCTTTTTCATTAGTAAATAGACTAATGATCAGCAACAAGCTATCAACAATCAGCATACAGAAACCTTAAACATCATTAACTTGACCTAAGTGATATTTATAGAAGGAATGCCACACTGAACAGAGAGCAGGAAATGCGTTCTCTACAAGTGAAAATGGAGCACTCTCCAAGGCAGGTCACATACACTAGGCCCAAAACAGTAAGTTCCAGAGCACTAAAAGCATATGCTTTCTGATCAAAAATAACTAGATGAAAAATGTTAATATGTGTGATGAGTTGACTTTTAGTAAAGAATACCTCTCTTTAAATCTGAAAATGGTTTCTTGAAGACTGATTCTTGAACGCTAATAGCCCCGCCAGTTATCTAATGTAATGCATATGGAAAATCTTACTTAAAATTTCAGTTTACCTGTGTGTTAACGTCTCAAGTGTTTTCCTATAGGCAGTGCATTGTTAATCCTTGCCTTTCTCTCCAAACTTACAGTAATAGTAAAGTACATAGAAAAAAATCCCAAGTATTTAGAAATTGAGTAACACACTTTAAAATTACGTATGAGTCAAAAACTAAATGTTTTCTGTTTGTTTTTAACATAAGATCTTACTATGTAGCCCAGGCTGACCTTGAACTCCAGATCACCTTGCCTCTGTCTCCATAGTGCTAAGGATTACAGATGTATGTCACCAAGCCTAGCTCAAACTAAATCTTTTCTTTTTATATTTGTTATACTAGGTATTGAACCTAGGGCCCTACATATGCTGTATAAGCAGTTGATCAATAAGTATTATATGCCCAACCCAGCTTTTAACTTTTATTTTGAGAAAGGATCTCCCTAAAGTCACCTAGGCAGGCCTTGACTTTGCAATACTCCTGCCTTAGCCTCCCAACTAGCAGGGATTACAGGCCTGTACCACCAGGCCCAGCTATTCAGACTAAATCTTGAGGAAAAATGTAAAAATCATGTTGAACTGAATAAATAAAAAAATTTTAAAATAACAAAATGTATGGGAAGCAACTAAACCAGTATTTATAGAGGGGAATGTATAGTCTTAAATATATCTATTAGGGTTGGACATATTGGCATATTTCCATAGCCCCAGCTAGTCAGAGGTAGAAAGATCTCTGGAGCTCAGTAGTTCAAGACCAGCCTGGGCCATATAGCAAGACATATCTAAAATAAAATAAAATTAAACTAAATTAAGGCTCTAACTGGGTATGATAGTACATGTCTGTAATCTCAGCCTTAGGACATGAAGACAAGAGTTTCAGTAGTTCAAGGTCATCTTGAGCTACCATTATGTATTTGTTATAGTTTGAGGTCAGTCTGGGGCACATGAAACTCTGAGTTCAAGGTCAGCCTGGGTTACACAGTAAGACCTAGTATCAAAAACAAAGAAAAAACAATTAGCCTTTGACTCATAGGTTATTTAAAAGTGTATTACTTAATTTCTAAATAATTGGGTATTTTTTTCTATGTATTTTATTATTATTGTAAGTTTGGAAAGAAAACCAAAGTTTAACAATGTACTACTTATATAAGCAAAAAGTGGGTTTTTAAAAGATAAATAAAATGATAAAATTCTGGCAACACAGATCTCAAACATTTGTATTTCAGGAAACACAACTTTTCAATAACAGGAATGAAGGTGGACATGCCACCACAAGTCTCAGAGACAATGGAAAACTAAAGGATATTATGGACAATTGTTTATTCATTTACTTATGGTACAAATAATGTTAAAAAATACAACTTACGTATAACTTTCCAAGACAACACAAGAGAAAAATCTAAATAGTCCTAAATTTGTTGAATAGTCTATAATTTAAATTTTAAAAATCATATTCATGATAACTAATGTATACTTAATGTGTATATATACATGTGCACATATATGTAAAGAATAAATCAGAAAATGCAAGTGTTGGCAAGGAGGTAAGGAAACTGGAATCCTTACACATTGCTAATAGAATGTAAAATGATGCAGCTGCTATGGAAACAGTATAGTGAACTTCCCAACAATTAGACACAGAATTACTGTATGAGCCAGCAATTCCATTTTTGGGTATATATCCCCCCACCCCAAATGAAAGCAGGGACTTGAAAAGATGTCTATACATCCAGATTCACAGCAGCAGTTTGCAGTGGATAAAAGGTGAAATGACCCAGAGTGTTCTTTGAAGGATGAATAAACAAAACCTAACACTGTATTTAACACAGGCTATAATACGGATGAATCTTAAAGACATGCTAAGCAAAACAGGACAATCACAGAAGCACACCCATGTACTGTTCCTCTTATAGAAGGTTCCTAGAGTGATCAAATTCAGTGTGACAGAAAGCAGAGTGCTGTTTGCCAGAAGGGGAGAATAGGAAATCAAATGTCTGATGAGTACAGGTTCATAAGGAAAAGAAAGTGATGTCAGTTAAAGACATCAAATGGTATGAAGAATGAATAAATCTAGAGAGCTAATGTACAACAGATTTTTCTTTTAAAAAGTGTATGTTCATGTGAATGAAGATGACATGATGAAACTTAATGCTTTGCATGCTAACCTAAAAAATTAATTTAAAAAAGTACATGTTCACACACACAGGGTAACTAAATGAGATGATGGATATGCTAATTTATGGATTACAGTAACCACTTCACTACATGTATGTAATTATATGAAAACAATTTGCTGTACACCTTAAGAATATAAACTTTAAAACTTAAAAAGCTAGCCAGCCAGGCGTGGTGGTACACACCTATAGTCCCAGCACTTGGGAGGCAGAGGCAGGCAGATCTCTGTAAGCTCAAGGCCAGCTTGGTCTACATAGTGAGTTCCAGGACAGCTGGGGCTACAGGGAGACACTGCTTCAAAAAAGACAGAAAAAAAAAAAAAAAAAGCTATCCAGACACAGTGGCATATGCTTACAATTCTAGCACTTGGCTGAAGCAGAAGGATGGAAAGTTCAAGGCCAGCTTGGGCTTCACAGTGAGATCCTGTCTCAGAAAAGCAAAACAAAACAAAACGTATCTCCACAATAAACAAATCTACAGGTCTGGAGAGATGGCTCAGTGGTTATGAGCACTGGGTGCTCTTACAGAGGACCCAAGTTCAGTTTCTAGTACCCACCCACATGGCAGCTAATGACACCAGTTACTCCAGTTCCAGGGAATCCAATGCCCTTTTCTGACCTCCATGGGCACTGTATGACATCATCGCACTTATATACATGTAGGCAATACACTCATACACATAAAATAAAAATAATAAATAAAATATTTTTTAAAT